CGTGGAATTCCAGCACCGCAAAGCGCCCCTCGAGCGTTTCATGGCTAAGCCGGAAACACGATTCGAGGGTTGTGCTGCTGCGGCCGTTCGTAGCTAAACTTCATTTACTTCAATCCTCGTCCCCGCCGCTCGTCCCCGACCCGCCACCGCTGCGCTCTGGAACCACTCACGAGTCTGACTGCGGCCCAATCAAATTAGAAGAGTGTTCAAAGTATCAGCGCCGCTCCCTCGGATAGATCCGTCTAACTTCTTAAGACCGGGTGCGAGCGTAGCACGGCTCGTGAAAGCTTATCATCCGCCTTATCGCCGCGACGTTATCCGTGAAAGCGCGGGGCAAATATCAACGAAATTATTACTCAGCTGTCGCGCGCAATCGGCTCTGACACGGGAATCCCACGAGACGCGCGCATCAACGATCGGCAAGGATCGCCGATCAGCGTGTGAGAAGCTCGAAGCAATGTACATCGTAAAATTCTACGCATCGTAAAATAAAAAAGAAATGTGTAAGATCAAAAATAACACGCAAGGATACGTGATAAATATACAAAATAATATAGTTTTAGTGCTTTTATTTCCTCGATAATTTTCTACAGATGTCATCATAGGTATTAATTTTCGCAAAACTGTCATATATTTTGATGGAGAAGCGCGGCTGGTTTGTGTGTCCATGCATATAAATTTTAATTTTACCTATCCAACACACGGTGTTTTAGAGCCTATAAATAAAATGGCACGTTAGTGCCTTACCTCCGTTCATTTATATTTATTTTTATCAAGACTTTATTTATATGTCAGTTAATCTAACAGAAGTGCACAGATAAAGTGAGTTATTCGGAAAGATTGAAATATATAGACAAATATTAAGATAAGGATTTAAATATGTGTATATGCACATATACTACGGTTATTATTATAAATTATAAATTCCTTATAGCTGTATCTTCAAAATAAAACGCTCGATAATTCGGAAATTGTTGCGCAAAGTCTGCGTGGTTATATCCTTAATGTCACAGTAACTTTCTATTAAAATCCCAAATATGTGGTTTAGAAGAAATCCAAAGTAGAAATTTCGGATATTAACTTCAAAGAGGCCGCGTATGAAAAACATCAACTTTAGCTGCGAATATCTCACTTCTCGAGCGGCCAATCGTTTTCTCACCTCACAGACGTGTAAAGAGGGTGCGTCCATAAATACGCGATTAAAATTTCAAACCGGTTCCCGAGAAAATGATTTTACAGACCGACCGCTACCTTAAATCGGAAACGGGCGCGCACAAAATAAAAGCCGCGCACCCGTCCTCTCACACGTATGCGAATCGGACAGATCTTTATTATAGGTGCGCCGTGTAAATTTTATTTATTTTTTATCGGAAGAGTCATGGAGATTTTTACCAGCGACGCAAAATAAATTCGCGCTCCCCCCCCCCTCTCCCTCCCCTCCTCCCGTGCACGCGCGTACAGAGAGATATATTTTCTCTGACACGCGCGCGCGCGCGCCGCTGCATATTTTCTCCATTCATCGTGCGCCGCGCATTCTTCGCGGTAATCGGTCCACCGTATCATAAATCAGTAAGTGGATCCTGCAATTTTAACGCGCCCACTCCGCCCTCATCCGCGGGCATTATCTCTTTCCGCGTGCTTCCTCTCCCTCCCCTCCTCCCCCCCCCTCCCGTTCTTTCCCTTTTTTTCATTTTTCTCCTCCCCTTCCCTTCCCCGGCTCTCTCGTGCTCTCGACCGACGCGACGTTTCGTTAAACTGTACGAACGCGGCGTGCGGAAAATTCGAAGAATGAAATCCGTGCGGATCCGTGTGACTCGCTGATTATTCCGCGGCGCGCGCGCGAATAACAGCGGGCCGGGAATTTTCGAGCACCGCGAGCGAGATAAACGAGGAAAACAGAGAGTGAGCATAATTGCGCGGGTACTAGTTGCGGCAGATACGAACGAACGGATTGTACCGATCGTCATATTTTCGACATGACGATCGGTAAGTGCGAAAAGTGAGACCGCTCGCTCGCTCGCTCGCTCGTTGCGGCTGGCCGTTGCGGTTGATAGACGGGCAATTTTCGAACTGTTGCAAAACCGATTAATAAATACGTTAACGAAACGAGCAGCGAGAATGAGGGGAACGACTAGTTGTCCGACGGAAATTACGGTTATGTTTAACTATGCGAGAGCGACAGAGAGAAGGAGAGAGAGAGAGAGAGGGAGAGAGAATGAATGAATGAATATTTATTTAGCTTTCTCAGCTATTTTGTTTTACACCAATTGCCTTATAATCGGATTACATTAGTTACAATTCTTTTAATTTCCGCTTAAACCGCTCTATCCCTCCGCACCTGGTTTACTCCTATCGGGAGGACATTGCACATTTTCACATCTTTATAAAATAGACACTTCTCTGTGCGCCTGTAGTCCTACGAAACATGCGTCACAATATTCTCAGACTGCCTCGTTCGTTTCTCGTCCACATTTCCTACCATCCGTATCCTATTACCCAAGTGTTCCGGCGACACGCTTTTTATAATTTAAAATATAAAAGTCCACACATTATATGATATAACCTCTGTCTTACCGTCATAAACTGCGACGCTTGCAACATTCGCCTTCACCTTGGTATGTCGATCGCGTTGTAAAATGATCCTCAAGCGGCGCGATTTTGCGCCACTTGCAGTTCAATCAACCGCATCTCACTCACACCGACTAACAACGTTGTACGGTATTCGAAATCAGGCTCTATGATTGATTTGTGGATAATAGATAACGTATATGCCGATATATATCTTTACCTAATCTATTTGAGAAACTAGTCTTTTCCCCTATTTTCTTTCACGTATAATCACAGTGGTCTTCCAATCTGAGTTCACTATGAGGGAGAAAGAGAAAGAGAAAGAGGAGATACTTTTACGAAATTAGCGAAGAACAATCAGACGCAATCTCGCAATTACGACAAGAAGCCCGGATTTGTTGTTGCTCGTTTGGCGAGCGTCGAGAGCGGGAATTCCGGGCGCAGAGATCGCCGGGTACCGGCCGCTTCACGGATCGTGATTAGTCGTTCGAGCGTATATACATCCACTTCGGGCTGTAGTAATTTCTTCCATTCATTAGAGCGCCGCAGTGGGCAACGTACCGCATGCGAGCGTCGCGACCGAGATAACCGAAAATGGCGTTTCGTGCGGAATTGCGGTTTGTTTACACATTCTCGTTAGCCGGCGGGAATCCCTTTCGGAATTCTTAAATCATAGCGCGCGACCCACGCCGCTCGGATGAACAATAAAACGAGGCAGTTTCGTTAAGGTCCGCGGATACACGAGAACCGCGACGCCGATCCGACAAAATTTCGCCCGGTCGCGAATTGAAAGACCCAAGCGGGTTACTAATCATCGTCTTAATTGTTGTTCAATCGTACGCGTCTGGAGTGTATCTTCAACCCTTAACAGAAAAGTATCACGGCCTACGACAAATTGGCCAGTGATGAATCATCGTTGCCCGATAATTTTACTACTCGTACGAATAATAAATTCGATTTATCATCTTCGACATTAATAAAATTACGAACAATTTCGCGAACAGGCTGAACGCAAGTTCCGCTTGAACAGTCGCTACGATTTCGGCCGGTTGTGCTTCTGAAAACTTCTGAAACTAAAACGGCGAGAAAAATGATTAAATAACAAACTTGTCGCTATTGTTGCTAACGTAATGGATGATAAGCATTAACGACGTTATCGTTCCTAGTGAGAAAAGTAACGTCGTTGTAGAAGTAAATTGTAACAGTGACAGCGTCAAATGACGCATTACTTCGCAATCTTATTTTACATCAATGAAAAGTCACTCTAATTCGAGTGACTCATCCAGTCGTTCTATTTTTCACATATCGAATTTCACTCGAAGGAAGAACAATTATCGGACCCTCGGTGAATAGCATTGGGACATAACCAGTATTGTAGGACGTCACAAGAAGGTCAAGTTCCATCGGCACAACCTTATAAAATGAGTCTCCTGAGTGCTGGAGCTGTCCAAAGTTTCCTATCACGAATATGTACCGCTGGTTTTGTCCGATTTCCCTACATCCAGGGCACCTTCCATCGGTGACGGCGGTAACGGGGGGGGATTGTCTCAAAAACATTGAAATAATATGTCTGAAATGTATTTGGTACTGTTAATTAACCCGGCTTGGAAGGCTATAATCATGCACACCAGCGACGCATGTTTCTTTTAATATAGTTTTTTCAAACTTATATGACATAGAAGCTAATTAATATTTAGCTATATAAAAATTTGTCAATACTGAATATGTGTGTATGATTATATGTGTAAAAATATAAAACGATGTACGTGCAGTTTTTTTTTTTCAAATTCTCAAAAGCAAGTCATTTTCTCTATGTGCTCCACAGAGAGAGAGAGAGAGAGAGAGAGAGAGAGAGAGAGAAAATAATTTGCTGCCAAATGCCGTTGCGGCAAAATCTGTCAGTTATTGTAGCGGACAGCGAAACGATTTGTTAAGAATACCGTTAATTCGCCGGATTATACAGCTGAATCCACGAACGATCTCGCTCGTATAGAATAAATTGCCGAAAAACACTGTTCTGTTCTATCGGCGGATTAACGTCGTCCCAAGGACAGATTCACCCGGTTGGGGAATATTTTCTATACGACGAAACTGTGTTTCCGCTTTAATTACCGAGTAATTCGCTCATTTGTGCACCAACTGAATTCTACCACCACCACGTCCCAACGAATGTGCAACGATCGTTTCGCTGCAACAACAAACAATTATTTTTACACGCGGAGACCAGGTGATCCACCGTAAGGAACGTACGAGCTAACGTACGTTGCACGAAACTCCCCGACTGCGCGCCGTTCGACGAACTCGATCTCGCGCCACACCGGGGTCGGAGGAAAACTTCTTTCCCTCTTTCTCTCTCTCTCTTTCTTACTCTTCCCCCCCCCCCTTTCCCTCTCTCTCTCTCACTCTTTAAGAAAACACCGCACGTGTCTTAGGGGGCGCGCCGTTAAATGGCGCTGTTAATTTCGACGAGCTGCGTTGGTCGTCCGACTCCCTGGAAATCCGTGAGACCGCGGCAGCGGGTAAACACGCCGTCGCAACCAGGGAAATACATCCGGGCGATATTCTGGTAGTCGAGCCACCGCTGGCGGGTTGTCTCCTACCCGAATTCTATGGCACCCATTGTCAGCATTGTTACTCGAGGTGAGGAGAAAATTGCCGCCGGCTTCCACCCCGCTCACCCCGCCCGAGCCCCCTTCCCTTCTCTCTCTCCCTTCCTCCCGTTCCCGTTTCCGCGTCCGTGTCCCGAATTTAATGGACAATCCTTGGACGGCGCGTAATCCTCCGCGTAACTTTCGCTTTGTCTGTACGCGGGCCCGCGGTAAACCCGCCCGCCCCCCCGCTTTTTACGAATAAACTCAGCGGCAGCGAGAGAGGGAGAAAACGGGATTTCATTAACCCGAGAGCGGCGCGTGTGACGAACCGTATGCGCGGACAGGAACTCGTTATTACGCGACGGTAAAAGCCGCGCGCTAAACAAGGCGCAAAGAATTCCACCGCGCGCGCGGAATTCGCTCGTTGCGCGAACTACGTCCGTGCAACGATGTCCGGGGCGGGGGGAGGGGGAGAGGGAACGTTCGAGGGACGGGAATAAAAAGAGAGGGAAAGAAGTAAAAAAACGACGCGATCTTTTCCGGTTCGTCGTGTCGGGTGTCTTTTGCATTTTTCTGTACCGCCAGTCGAACTCTCTCTCTCTCTCTCTCGTCGGAAGATATAAATTCGATCGATAGATTCCGCTGCAATTTTTCGTACGAGTTTCGCGCGAGTCTCGATTTTAGTTCGTTAGATCCGCCTCGCGTTCAGGGAGGCCCATTCTGTACACTCGGAATTGTTGATCGATGGATTTAAACCCGTCACTCCGATTGAATCCATCGAACGATGAACAGAGAGAAAGAGAGAGAGAGAGAGAGAGATCCGTTCGCGCATACGACGGCGAAAGTTCCCGCGCTCTTGGCTTTTCCTCGGCAATTTGCATAATTTACCTCCCCCGCTAACCCCGTTTCCCGGTTCGATCGATTTACGAATATCCAGCCGGAAATTTTTAGACTAAGAGCGCCGGTCGGATGCCCCGACTGCAGCAGCGTCGCTTTCTGCGGCGGAAAGTGCAGAGACGCCGCGATGGCGACGTATCACAAGTACGAGTGCAAAATCTTGGCCCTGTTGATAGGTAAGATCATGCGTGAGCACTCCCTCCCACCCTTCTGTCGATTATCACCACAATGTAATATTTTTTACATTTTTTGCGAATGCTGCAGATTTTTTTGAACTTTTTAACCCATCAAAGGCCATCATTATTTTGAAACGTTTTTAATTGACGTATCAGTCTGTTCATTTCCTGATAAACTTGGATTAGTGTTAAAAAATTATATTATGTTTCTTATTCACATTTTTTCACATATTTATTTTTATTATTATAGAATAAGTGTTGAAAGCGTTTGTCAGATGTAATCAATATAAGAGAAATAAGTCGATAACAGTCAACGCTAGCTGCTTACAAATACTTGTGAAATAAACTTCGGAATAATAATTTTTTACCTCATAGTATTAGTCTCAACTATTCCTTTCAAATCGGAAAATGTCAAAATTGCCATTTTTCGCAAATTTCCCAAAATTCCGATGTGTTAGAGACATTCTGCGCGGAGGTTTGTACTTAGCAGCCAGGAACACATAAGAAATGACTTATTAAGCCTCAGGGCGAATTTTCATGCTGCTCGGTGTTATCAACAATCCGAGACTCGTGTTAGCAATTGATACAATCGCAGGCTTTCGGCGAGGAGTCTCGTTACGTCCATCGTATTCGACGCTCGTTCCTCCCAATGACGCGTAATAAACTTCATCATATTTCTTCCGGAGCCTCGCCTTCGATAAATAAAACCGGAAGCGCGTCTACCGTTATCCCGAGCGCCAAACGAGGCTCCTTTCACGGCGGCTAATTACGAGACGCTTTTTAAATTTCTCCCCCACAGGCTCCGGCATGAGCGTGCTTAGCATGCTCGCCTTTCGGATGGTGACGCAGGAGGGTCTGTACAAGTGTTTGAGGATCCACGAGGAGCTGAGGAAGAAGAGTGGGTGCGCCGGCGAAAAGGCCGCGACGCCTTCGGCGACGACGCCGGATATACACGACGCGAAGTCGCCGAGCAGGTCGGCCAGGAGGAGAATCAGACGGAGGAAACTGAGGGAAGGTAGGCGAAGTGAGGGGATTACCGCGACGACGACGAAGCGGGAGAAAGTGGAGGAAGAAGAAGAGGAGGGGGAGGACGAGAAGGAGACGAAGGAGCACGACGAGGAGAAGGTGGGTACAATGAAGTCCCGCGGGAACGGGAGCGCCGGCGATGAGAGCGTCGACGCGGGACCATACAATTTGGTGACGCACCAGGACAGACGGACGAGCAAAGACTTCCTGGAGAGATCGCTGATGGCGGCCTTCCTACTCAAGTGCCTGCAGAGAGTCGGCTTTTTCGCTCGCCCCACGCCGGATGACGGTACTTATCACACCGTGAACTGCCGCGAGCATCGCCTCTGTTTGAACTCAGAATACTAACGTGCGTCTCCCGAAACGCAGATATTTCTTACGAACCCCCCTCCCTCCTCTGTCCTCTGTCTCTCACCTCACAAAGAGCGCGGCCGATCGCGTACGGGCTGTGCTTATCCATTCGGTGAAATAGACGGTTGATGTCAAATAAAAGATCTCGACAAAACTGAAAACAAATATACAGGTTAGAAGCTGATCCGATTTTTCGTTCCTATTCGTCCTTCCGAATATGGCTGAATAATCACCCGTCATTTCGAGAATGATTTTGCGCCTCTGCGTGACGACACATCGGCCGGATATCTCTAGTTTTCTATACATTTTTCACGGGTTTCAAGATTACGAAAATCACCGTGTTCTTCGGGGAAAACGACAAAATAAAACCGCATGTTGTGCAAGAAACTTACTGTCATTTCTCGCGAATGACGTCACGAAACAGCTGTTCCTTCCGCGGAAGAGAGCGCGAAAAGTTTCCCGCCGAGGAGGCGGTGCGCGTGCGCGCGAGCGCGAAGCTACGAGGCGACTAATATCGGGAAACTTGGCGTGAGTTTGCAGAGGTCCCAGACGCCGACGAGATCACCGTGGCCGCCCTGCTGCTGAGGAACCTCCAGCTGCTCCAATTTAACGCCCACGAGTTCTTCGAGACGCGGCTAAGCGCGCAGCATCGATTCCGCGGCAGCCGACCGGTCTACCTCGGCGTGGCAATTTACCCGACGGTCGCCCGTTTCAATCACGACTGCTACCCCGCGGTGACGAGGTAAGGGAAAAGGAGAAAAGGAGCGCGCCGACGCCGGGCTTTCGCGCGTCGGCCGGCACCCACGGGAAAATAAATCCGCCGCCGCAGTGTGTCGCGCGAATTTCACGCGACGTCGAAATCGCACGGAAACGGTGCGCGATGCTCCTGACAATGTTGCGCGCGACGAATCGAACAGCTCGTTATTTATTAACACACCCGCTGCCGCGAAGGTCGTGTAAACTTGCTCGACGTTAAACTTTCCGCCTCATATTTTCTCGTTAATCTTGCGCCGGCAACGTGTAATTCAGCACCTTCCGTCAGTAACTTGGAGCTTTGAGGACCCTGAGGACTTAGAGGTGTGCGGGATTTTACACTGTGCCGGATTGCAAAGTCCGCAGGAATGCTCGTATGTTTATGAGGGCTTTAATAAAGAGTTCCCGTTATTGCGGGAGAGTTGGATTGCATTTTATTTAATTATACAGATTTAAGCCGGAGAAAGAACTTTTGAAGAAACGTCATTTCGCGGTTAAACATTCATTGCTTTTTATGAACGAATAAGAAAATCTTCGTAGTTTATATTTTGGCAAGAAATAGTATAATAATGTTGGCTCCGAGAAAGTTGAATTATTTGAATATCTGGAAATGAAGATTCTTGTGAGGGAGAAAATCAAGTTTCATTTGAATTAGTTTCTTCGCGGAAAAGAGGCTTCGACGCTTCGATATTTCGAAATTTTGATGACATGTCTTTCTTAGAGAGAGAGAGAGAGAGAGAGAGAGAGAGAGAGAGAGAGAGAAAGAAAGAAAGAGAGAGAGAGAAAGGGAGAGAGAGATATCTGTACATCCCAGTCTCTCTCTCGCTCATTTTATAATAGAATATAACAGAATACGGAAAATCAAATTAGCAGGGGTTGTTAAGAGACCTTACTCGCGCTGTTCTCAGTATGCAATTATATTACATGCAAGAAGATTGAATGTTTACCTTTAACAAATCTCATATGTTTCGGTCGTCGCTTTGGTTCCGAAGTTGGAACTGTTGTGCGGTTCAAAGCACGACGATCGAAACACACCGAAATTTGTTAAATACAAACACACCCGAATTTGTTAAAGGTAAATATATACGATCTTCTTATACATATAATATAATTGCGCACCGAAAATAGCGGAAAGGTTTCTTGCTAGTCCTCGTATATTTGTTTTTTTTGTTTCTTTTTTCCAGTTCTTCGCGTTGTCTTCACGGAGAGAAGTAATTTACTGGCAGGGCAAATTTGATGTTGTCGCAGCAAAGTCTGTCTTATTAGTTACCATGCGAATTGCAAAACGATTTGTTAAGAGTATTAATTGCCATTCACTGAACATATTTTGCTGTGAAAATAAATTAAGAAATATAGAAAAACGCTACTTTATTCTAATATCAAATTGACGTGTCCCAACGACAAATCTGGCACAACCAAATTAGCGAATTATTCGTAATTAGAGCAGAAACCGTTTGGTTGCGTCAGGATGAAAAATACTCTGCCGAATGAATTTGTCCTTAAGTCACGTTAATTTGCAGTTAACACAAAATAATGTGTCTTCCTGTATACATTTACTAATTTATTACACATTTATTATACAGCAAAATAATTTATTGATTCAGCAAAAATAATTCAGCGAATGGCAATTAATATTCCTTTATAAATCGCTTTACTGTCCACATAACTGACAGATTTTCCTGCGACGGCATAAAATTTACCGTGCCGATAAATTATTTCTCTTCGCGCAGATATATCGATATATTTACATCGATATATATATATATATATATATATCAAATAGGTACATCCCAGATATATTCTGCGATACGGTCGGCGCGAAGTAAGAAGAAGAGCTAAAGAAAAGAGAAAAGAAAAAGGGTGAGATAAGTAAGCCGAGCTGAGAAAAACACGATTTCCCGGAGATACCTACCGCCGCCGTGTTACTGCACAAACGATCGTCCTCGTCGGATCTCTTTTTTTCATTTTCAATCGTCGTCCCTTCGATGGCTGTTCAATAACTGTGACGAGTCGAGCGCGATAATTAGGCGAATAAAAGACCGCCCTCAAAGGTTCGCGTTGTCGCATCCGTGAATTCGCGGACGCGGTGACTCGACGACGCGGTCGAAACGGGTCAAAGCGATCAATGTCGAGAATCCCCGTGGTGTGTACTTTGAAATTTCCACGGTTACACACACACACATACACACTAACTCATCCATATATACAGAAAGAGAAAGAGAGAGAGAGAGGGAGACACACATTCGTATGTTACACGCTCATACGGTCTCTCTCTCTCTCTTTCTCTCTCTGTCTCGCCGAACTTTGGCGGGCCGGCAAAGTGCGCGCGACTCGCTTTGATTTGCATACTAATAACATGGTCGAGCGAAAGAGTAGACCACCGTCGTGGCAGATGAGAGCTAATTAGTATAACCAGACGGTACACAATCGCCTGCGTCCTTGCGGGAATTATTAATCGAGTCGGACGCGACCGCCCCGGACGGTCTGTTAAGTAAAGTTCTTTCCGAGCACTTGAGCGCGAGCGAGCCCCTTTGTTGGCGGAGATCCAACCCGACTACTACTCTCCAACCGTCTCCTCTGCAAAGTGTCGGCGCATGCAAAAAGCGCCCGCGAGTCCTTTCGTTATTGCGCGACGGCGGATAGCCATGTTAATCTTTGAGAACGGCGCCCACCCTCTCGCGACTCGCACGTGCCGCGAGTGGAAATTTCGGTTTCACGTTTTCAACGGTTAGTTAAACACCGAAATGTTTAAGCAAACGCAAACTACACGATATTGTCGCGAGTTAAGTGAATTTCTATTCGGTTGGGAAGAAAAGCCGAAAAAACCGCGAGCCGGTGAAGATTGACCTGGCAAATTCCGTTGAACTTGAAGGGATCGGTGGAGAATCTGTCCAGATACGACGTTACGTGGTACTATCGTCCCGCTTGGAAACGCTGCGGATGTTTACTCACTGCCCCATTTTCTCCGTATTGAGAATCACGTAAAGAGAAGAGAATTATATTTATTCGAAAATTATTTGACATACAATTATCTCGAGATATATTTTTCTTCCTCTCTTACAACGATTTCATCGTCTGCGAAAATCCAAAGTGTTTCGAGAGAGATCGAGAGTGATCTCTCAGCGAGCACCGACCGTGCGCATTGTTGATTGGCGGGCGACGATTGGCAGGGGATGACCCGTGCTTTGCCCGTCTGCCGTTTGTTCGAGTACCCTCGCACCGTGACCGAGTCATTTTGTTCGAAGCCGATGGGCGACGCACACACCACGATGTGCGTCGGTGGAAGTTATTTACGATCGGGCGATTAAAATATTTCGCCGGTTTTCTGAAACATTTAATCGACCCTCCGTGCGAATCGTGTCCGCGCAAGAGTGCGAACGTGTATCCGTGAAGCGCCTCGATGAAGCGGCTAGGAATGCAGGACGCTGCAGCGGGAAGCTAAGACGGAGAACGCCGAGACGCAGGCAGCGACACATCGTGTGTTTCCAGGTGTGTCGAATCACGCGGGACACCTGCGATTCGGACGTTTCCTCGAACTTACTGATTACGAGGAGATATTCAAATTGAAGCTCTGGGCCGGCACTTAGAGTTCGTCGTCATTTAACAAATTATCCCCTGTAGGAAATTTGTCGAGGATCTAATTGGAATCTGTGAAGATTCCCCAAAGAAATTATAGATCCTGATTGGGAAATCTATGAAGATCCGGGTCAGAGGTGTGATGTCCCGAAAGTGAGATTCTAAGTGGATATTCCAGACAGATTCCATTTTCTCTATCTAACGTTCGCCCAAAGTGCGATTCCGAAAGGAAAACCCAAGCAGATTCCATTTTCTCCGTACAACGTTTGCCTAAAGTTTTCTTTTTTTCTTTCTTAGGATTTCTATTTAAGTTGAGCAAAATATCTGAAAAGCTTCGAGCATTTACGCACATTTTACAAGTATAAATATTTAAAAAGCGTACATACTCAAGCTGCTTCAGTTATTTTGATCAACTGCTTTTTGAAATAATTTATAAATGTCTCTGGTATTTGTAATAATATTTATTATACTTTTATTATTATATTATATTTTATTTATTTTATATATAATATGAAACTTTACAATTAAATTAAACGTTTATTTATACATTTTTTCATTGAACAGACAAAATGGGATCTATGTTTCCCGAATAGAGAATCTTAAATGGGATCTAATTAAGATCCATTCCGATTGATCAGCTAAATAAAGCTACAATTCCAAATGAGAAGCCCAGATAGATTTCATTTGTTTTGCCTAACGTTTTCCGAAAGTTTTCTCATTATTGGGATAAGAATGGGATTTTTGATTGGTATCGCAATATCTTATTTGGGATAAGTTTGGGTAATCCGATCAGAATCTATGCTATATTTGGGAATTTTCGGGAAATTTCCGTACGGGATTGTAGCTTCATGATCGTTCGATCACGCCTCGCGATTTATACTTGTTTCAAGCGACGAATTTTGATTCGAACATGCATAACGGTCTGCGTATACGAGTCTGTAATTAACTACGTTTTCAATCAAAGATCGTGAATAATTTGCAGCTATGAATTAATTTGCAACTACCAATACCGGCCTTAGAATCTAACGCAAAACTTGCTGATTTATACCTAAAGATATTTTATACCTAAAGATATTATGAAAGAAAAGCGGTTGGATCGATAAAGTCTATCATCCTCTTTCAGAAAGATGTTATGCCCACCGAGCAATTATGCATTGGCGCAATAATACGTTGTGCTGATACAGTAGCTGACCAAATCCATTCGTTGAAACGATTGATAATTCATCACAGCGACTATATAATATGTTCGGTGGACAATGTGCTCGAAAAGATTTTGTTCGTTTATGCAAAATTTCGTTGATTTTCTCTGTCACTTTCTTCCTCGGTATATAATAACATTCCTTCGATCACACACAAGTTTCACCTTGAATGTGTGTGTGAAGTTTCACCTTGAACATTTTTTCTTCGCTATAACCGTCAATATCTTTCTACGTATTTTTTTCTCAAGATGACAAAAAGTCTATTTTTTGTTATTATATCGTACCCGAATTTAAATCTGTGTTTATACACGGCATTATTAAACACACAACTGTTATCTTTGTTATCCTCTTGCGTTATTCTTCTTTTTCGCCTCTTTTGAATCTCTGTACCTTATCGAACTTTCCGCCAATAAACATTGTCAACAAACACATCGCCGGTAAACATAAATCCACAATATAAAGGATAAGAAAAATACTGTGAACAAAAAGTTGTTTTATTCACCTGTATTTTGGTTATTTAACATTTACTTGCCGCGTGTATGCTACCTACAGTTGGCCGAGTTACATAATTGATAGGATCGGCTCGTCGAAATTGAGAATAAAGACTGAATGCAGGTATGCAGGTGGAGCATTAAGTTAATTGAACGTTAAATATCTATTTTCCGAAGACACTTATTACACAACATACACACAAAGATATATTATAGTACAGGACCTGGAGCCATTATGGTCGCTCTTTAACAGGTCCTTCTATAAGCTCCATCACGAAGGAAACGACAATGAGCTACCATTTGTAGCGTTCCTACAGGTAGGACAATAGTCAGTATAGTGTTATATCTCATCATTCTCCGTTAGACCTTCAAGTTCAGCGGGATTTGCTCAGGGTTAATATGGGGAATCATCAAAACTTCGGCTCAGGGTGTACGCGCACGAATATATCTTCGCGCGTGCATATCGGCGATCGAAACTTGTCAAGTTCACTGAAAGAAAAATATGGTTATTTTCAGGGTACAACAGTATCCTATTTTTTTTACTTTAATCACAAAAATAGCAGCGACGTCCACATAAGATTATTGTCACTGACACTACATAGTAACGTTTACTAGAAAAACAGTTCTCTCGACTATTTTTGTGTGGTTGAAGTGAAAAAAGGATATTGTTGTCCCCGAAAATAACAATATTTTTCTCTCAGTGTTTCTCTTCTCCCTCTTCCCCTCTCTCTCTCCGGAAACTGGAAACTTCACGAAGTCTCCCGGACACGACGGAGTAATTCGCGTGGACTATATTCCCATTGTCGTCGTGTACTTTTGGAAAAAGGGGAAGGGAAAGAACGGGAGGGAAGGAAGGGTTGAACAAACGATCCGTCAATTACAACGTCCAAATGAATCGTTCGATGCGTTGGGGAACAATAAGAAGGGAAAAAGGGAAACGGTGTACACAATTGGCAGGGATGAAGTCGTTCCGCGCATTTACGGCCGCGCATCCGCGACGTACCTGCCGACCGCCGCCGCGATGAATACTGCAAATCTATTAGCGCTAATTAAGTACGTGGATTTGCGTGTACTCGGAGCAGCGCTAAAGCCTCCGCGATGACTTTGGTGGGTCACACGGCCATTATACCCGCTCATTACTTCATAATGTCGCGTCCGTATTGCGCGGCCTCCGCGCAAGCGCGAATCGTTATTGTTCGCGTCGTTATTAACGTCGTCGGGAAATCATTGTGATGATTACGATTATTATTTCATCGCGAAATAATTGCGTCGCGCCCTGGCCGGTTTTCGATTTATTAACCAGCACCTCGCCGGTAACCCCGGAATATCCTCTTTCCGAAATGGCCGGCTGATAAATACCCTTCGACACTGCTGCCTTCCGCCTCGTTCTTGCTCTCCGCATGCGTGCGTGATTTTATCGAAAAGAATACCCGGACGATACAAAGCAACAACAAGCCAACAGGGCATCCCAAAGTAATCACGTGTCGAATGCACCGGGAGATTTCCGGTAATAAATGAAGCAACTTTTTGTTCACCAAAATCCCGTTCGGTGATTTTTTGTCGAATTGACGGGGTACGGAAAAAAAAAATAGTCTTAAAACAAGAATATTCTCATGCGTAAGCAAAAGTATCATAATCTTCTTAGGACACTTTTAGTCTTGATTTGATTGAACTTACGCAAGCTTATTGATGCAAGTATTACTTGAACTCAACTCAAGACTAAAAATCTTTCAAGAAGATTATAATATTTTTGATTGTATATATGAGAATATCTGTTTTTGATTTAAGACTAATTTTTTTCTTGTAGACTAATTTTCTTCTTGTAGATTGCGTCGCGAGTCAGGATCGAAACGCCACGAAATGTCAAACGAGTCATATATAGGCTATTTTTCTTATATCACATTAAATATTTTATTATACGATTATGCGTAATATCTAAATCTATCGTTATTTTTAATACAATCTATTTTTGATACGAAAGAATTTCCTACCGACTCCACGGAAAAAACGACGAGAAGTAAATTAATATGCTTAAGGGGATGTCATATTTGAAAACTTTATTAAGGAAATACTGATTTCTTTCCTGCAAAGTTTACGTCTTATTAACTGCAGATAATTAGAAATGCTTTCACAAGGTAAAAGTACACGCGAAAGTGAATTGAAGCATTGCTCAATGTGTGACGAAAGCGATTAAAAGTTTCGAAAATTGATATCTCTAGCCGTCAGTGGGAATAAATATTTACCTGTACAGAGATACAGGAACTCTGTAGCTTGTACAGAAGGCTTCACTAACGCTGCTCCATTCCCTAAACATAGCGACATCGGAAATTTGCAATTAGGCGTATCATTTCTAAATATTTGTGCATCATGACTACTGCTTTGAAACATCGTTGCCGGTTCACAGAATAATCAACATGTCATGTTGCACAAATATTCGGAAATGATGCGCCTAATTGGAAATTTCGAATGTCACTATATACTTAGGGGATGCATAGGAACAGTGTTAATGGAGTCTTTTGTACGTTCAAAACGTGGCAATACTCCAATCAGGAAAATTTCGAGGAATATTTTTATAACTTTCCAATAAAATTCAGAGGCCTAAAAAGAGATGAGAAATTTGTAGAAAAATGTTTATATATCTTAGATTTTTCGTTGGAATACGATAAAATAGAGTAGCGCGTTAATTCTATTTACGTGTTGATTTCATTTATATTTATATCGCACTTACATTTCAAATCTATATATATGAGAAACACAAAAAAATATCATGATTGTGTTCATATAACATAACATTGTGAAAATCGCCTCTACGTTATTAATTAATACTGATGCTTAAGCATCAGTAACGTAGAGGCAATAATTATCAAATAAACTTGATAATTATCAACTTCGTTATCGACTCTGGCATCCCCTTAAACGACAATTCTTTAAACAATGTGTCGTTCCAGCATTTAAGAAATATTTGTAACCTTGAAAAAAGACTGATAGAATATTATTTATAACAAATGTTTGAAGTATACATGCCTTTTATTTCGATGCAAGCATTTATTCTGCGAGTAAGAGATTCTCGCGCACGCTGAAAAATTTCCCGTGTAAAGCCGTTCGAATATTCGTTGTAAATAATATTTCGGTTTTTCTCAGGACTACAAATATTTTTTTGAACGTTGAAAGGACAGCTCGTATAAAAATTGCTTATATGTCATTTAAGCATATTATTTTCGTCATTCTTTCAGTGGCGTGTCGGTAAGAAATTCTTTCGTATCAAATAAATTCCATTCAAAATAACGGTAATTGTACATAGTTACACAAATTTTTTGTGAGACGGAAGAAAAGCAAGCAACCGACATGATTCATATGACGTTTCGTGGTTCTGTTCCTGTCTCGCGCGCGACCTGGTATGCTAATTCGACAATTTTAAATAGGCTCTCATTCAAGAATTATCGAAATTCCATTCAAAATAACGGTAATTGTACATAGTTACACAAATTTTTTGTGAGACGGAAGAAAAGCAAGCAACCGACATGATTCATATGACGTTTCGTGGTTCTGTTCCTGTCTCGCGCGCGACCTGGTATGCTAATTCGACAATTTTAAATAGGCTCTCATTCAAGAATTATCGAAATTCCATTCAAAATAACGGTAATTGTACATAGTTACACAAATTTTTTGTGAGACGGAAGAAAAGCAAGCAACCGACATGATTCATATGACGTTTCGTGGTTCTGTTCCTGTCTCGCGCGCGACCTGGTATGCTAATTCGACAATTTTAAATAGGCTCTCATTCAAGAATTATCGAAATTCCATTCAAAATAACGGTAATTGTACATAGTTACACAAATTTTTTGTGAGACGGAAGAAAAGCAAGCAACCGACATGATTCATATGACGTTTCGTGGTTCTGTTCCTGTCTCGCGCGCGACCTGGTATGCTAATTCGACAATTTTAAATAGGCTCTCATTCAAGAATTATCGTTCGACTGAAATTTTAACCAATAAATAGTTGCTTTGCATCAAGAATCTTCCGGTTCACTCCGCATGCGGTTATCATGGAACACCTTGTATACACGCGTATCAATGTTTCGCGACGGGAAATTTGCTTTATGCGTTCGAAAATGGTTTTTCATATTTCCGAAACTATTAGTTCACAGCGATCGAACGGGCAGACCGCAATGAAAGTACACCTCTCGCGCGATTCCCCTGCAAATTTAACGTTCTCGTTTTTCGTGAGAAAAGAGAGAGAGAGAAGTTTCAACGTGTCACACGACTGTTTCCTTTTCTCTTTTTTTCTTACGTCACACGCCACAAATTTATTACAACCGGCATGTGAAAATCCACCGAACTAACTGCTAATTCGCGTTCAGTTAATTCAGCGAACGAGACACACCTCGGCCTCGCCCCGTCGTCTCACGTCGTACTTTACCCACGTGTGTCGCGCCGCGCATGTTCACACAAGCGCGACTCGGCTCGTCGTCCCGACGCGTGCCCGTGACTGTTAATCATCGCCGAGACGTTAACGTTAACGATTAATCGCGCTAACGAACCGGAGAGAGACGGGATCGCTCGAAGCCGTACCTTACATACACCTCGTCACCGTCCGCCCGCCGTCTTGGCTCGCCGCACCTCATCGGACACTTTTTTGTCGTCACGTCGCAGATACTTCGTCGGCCGGCACATTGTAATAAGGGCGACTCGCGGTCTGCAGCCGGGTGACGTTATTGCCGAAAACTACGGGCCGATATTCACCAAGAGGACCCTCGCCGAGCGTCAAAGGACACTGGCCGCGAGATATTGGTTCCGCTGCACATGTAAAGCCTGCCAGGAGGACTGGCCGCGCTTTGAGAATCTGACAAACGACTCCGCGAGGCTGAGGTAAGTCCATTTAAATTTCGCCGACATCAAGCTCATTAACGGAGTAATTTAATTGAAATGAACGGTCTTATCGATACACCACCGCACCGGGACCAAGTTCTCCCGCCCGCCCANTCGACTCCCCCACCCGAGTCCCCACTCGGATGTCTCCCCTCTCGACGGATTACCGAGGAGGAGCAATATCGATCGGAAATAATGCCAAGTGCGTTTAATTAAGACGGTCGACGTTAACACACACACACATTCTCTCTCTCTCTCTCTCTCTTTCTCTCTCTGTCTTTCTCTCTCTGTCTCTACCTCTCTCTCTCTCTCTCTCTGTTTATCTATCTATCTTTCACTACTAGCGGAACCTCTCGACGAGGGCTCGCCAAATCGTCTGCAATCGTACACTGCCCCAAGCACAATTAGGGTGGGTCGCCTCGTCGAGTGCCCACACCTCATTCTAGAATAGATATCTGAAGCATCAAGTACACTTCTCTCCCTATCGATTTTCATTATTTTCGGTAGAAAACGCGTTTGTATTTCAGCTGTTGTCGTCTTTCACGCTCTTTCCGAGAGGTCGCACGAGGATAACGATACATATAGCTGGACATGCTAGATGCATTTGTATAGATTCCGTGTAGAGAATGTGAAGCTGACACACCCGTGACGAGAAAAGAACTATCTTTAAATATATCTCTCTTTTTCTTCCTTTTTTTAACTAATCAGTAAGTTCCTGTATTCCTTGACTCATTTCCGATACCTACCTGTTAGTACCGCAACTCTAATAGGGGAACTTGGGAACACTTGATCTTTTAAAAGACTTGATCACTAGCTATTATTAAAAAAATTGGAAGATTCCATTTTCTTGCGTTAGCAGCAGTTTTTCATTCTTAATTGTAGAAAACGTTAAGTGTCGTTTTGTTAACTACTTTGTCACTACACCGAGCAGAAGAAATGGTAGAATCAACGAAATTTTGCTTAAGCGAACAAGCTTTTTCAATCACAACGTTCAGTTCATGGGACAAATTATACAGTTGCTGCAATGAGTTATCAATTGATTCGACGATTACGAGTCACCAATTATACCAACGCAACGTATTATTGCGCCAACGCGTAATTTGTGTCAATGGACACAATATTTTTTTAAAATGAAGGTGACCGCTGATTTTTTCGATCCAAATGTTTCTTTCTTTCGGTGTAGATGGTCCAAAACAGGATTAAAATGAGATGTCAATTACGATAGAGAGAAATCTGTTTATTATACTCGACGAGGCAACAGCTATTACCACCGAATATCTTCAAAGAATAAAAATATTTTATTAACGACTAGTTGCGAAAATGAAAAAAGTTCACATTCACAAAAGCTGCTTAAAGATCAATAACCATTGATATCAACGCAATTCCCGTTAAATAAATTTTTCTCCAGCTCTCATACTTCAAAGATACTCAAGGTCGTAAAATAGTTATCACCCCGCTTTGTGTATTATTCACAAACACACGTGTTATCCCTATTGTGTAAACTTACAATTGCATTTGCTTACATATTTTTCTAGAAACAACTTAGCTTGTTAATTTATTTAATATTGATTAACGCGTAAAAATGAACACCGTTGTTTCGGGAGAAAAAGAAAAGGTGAATACGCTCAAAGATGATTCCTCGTCGCACCATTTCTCTTCCAGACAGTTACCTTTGCACTAACTTTCGAATGTTCGGCCCGGGTACCTGTGTCGTTGACGAGGAATCGTGTGGAAAAAAATTCACATCTCCTTCCCTCCCTCGAGCAAAGTTTGAATCCCAGAAGAGTCGAATCGTGGTGTGCGATTAGATACTTTCGAAAAGTACCGGGGGAGAGAGAAAGAAAGAGAGGCAAGATCAAAAGGAAAGGAAAGAGAGACACGGTCGGCGAAGACGTGGGTCTTCGCGATAGCAAAAGCCGCAAAAGCGCAAGAATGTCACGCGAGGAGAATAACAAGCAGCCCCGGAGCAGCTTGGAAGAGGAGGAGGGCAGATGGGGGGAGGGGGGAGTTAGTAGATGTTTTTAGTGATCGTTAAAAACCGCAAGTCGCCCCGACGAACGAGGCAAAGTTCTCAAAGGGACGGTTCGCAAGGACGCTCTCGTCAAAGGTACTTCTGTCCGCCGTCGTGGGATCCTTGCCGAGTGAGGATAACGCGACGGCGAGCCGAGGTGCTTTTATCAGTTTCGCGGTAATTTTCTGCTGCGCCGGATAGCGCCACTCGTTACGCGTCCTTTATGTCAACAACGAGCCCCGTCGGACGACAGTATTTTTCCCCGAGAAATAAACTACCGCGCGCTGCCGCCGAGGCTTCTCTCCCGCTTTTGAGCGCGCCGCCCTCGCCGCGCGAACAAAAGTTCAATTACGAGTAATTATTTCATCGTCGCGCTAACGCAAATGTAATTCTCCTAAGTGCATCGAGGTCAATGAGAAAGGCGCCGCGTCGGTGTACAGTCACGATGACGACGAAGGGACCGGTTGTTAGAGCGTAAAGTCCTTCGCCCTTTCGGGTGCGTCTTCTTCTTCGCTCGGTATTGAGGGATTGTTCCTAGAAGGAACGATTTAATACCCATTAAGATACCCTTTCGCAACCTTTCGCGCACGACGCTTTGTTACCTCGACGGGAAATCGACGACGACTCGCTGAGCAAATATTTCGAATACATGAAGAAGGAAATACTTGTAACTGTAATCGCACAAGTGAAAAATCATGATAAAGAGAAATATTCTTCTCTTAAGTGTTGTAATGTTAGTAATAATAACCCGTACGGAAAAGAAACTACAAGAATGTGAAAAGATTTTCGGTATATCATCGAGGAACCGTTGAGGTACTATTGAGAAACGGTTTACGGAGGTTTTCCGCACGTTTCAAAAGCATCATTTAATTATTTATTTTACAAGCTTGGATTTTCCAGTGAAAGATTAAATTTGATTTTTTATAACTCCCATTTTGGGAAATATTGCTTTTTCAAAATCCGCCCCAGTGAATAACTATAACCTTAATAAATAAATAAAAATGTAGTGACGCTGATTTCAGGTCACTCTTGTTGAGGCCGAGATGATTATCGTTGATATGTGATTTTTTGCAGAAATAATTGAATTGGAGACAATGATGTTATATTCACCTATATAAAATCTATTCTTTTATATTGTTAAATGTATTTAACACATTGCATGCGGGTATATTTCGCCGCGGACTTACGCGTGTAGCGGGCGTTTTTTCGTGAATTTCGCGGGAATTTGGTATTGAGTAAAATCGCAATGAATCGATAACTACTTCGTGTTTCTCAACGAAACTTTTTTTTATTTTACACTTAAATATATGCTCTACGATTATTTAAAAAAAAAAACGACATTTTTTCTGAATAAATAAATATAGAATAGTGAACTAAAAATGAAAGAAAAATAGGCAATTTTTAATTTTATTATTTATTCAAAAATATTTTTTCATAACAACAAGTAAAAATAGCTAAAGTTCTAAAAAGAAACAATGGAAATCGTTGCCTAGCAACACAAACACGAACACCGTACACACTTACAATGCCCATCGTATTCATACGATACCCGCTCCCCTGCACAAATCTACTAATACGTATTTTTACGTGATCCGCTCTAGTGACAGACTGCAAAAAACGTAAAAGTACGTTTTCCGCATGCAATGTGTTAATAGGCATATATAACACAAAATTAATACTCATATTAATTTACAGCTTTTTAGAACTCCTCAAATTTTACCTAATTTTTACTCCTGTCGAGGTCCTGTGATCCTTTAAGGGGATGTCATATTTTCCTTTTGCTCTAACAATCAATAGGTAACCGTAAAATTAACATGACATGTGTAATATTCCCTTTTAGCCTGTTTCTTTTCATAATTTCACTACGTTAAGTTAGCTATTTATTGGCATTGTTATACAGAGCACGGCGAATGAAGTGTCACCTTATTTCCCCCTACTTTCATAATATTCATAAAAGCGCGTTAAAGCTCCGCGAAGTTTGCGTCATATTGGCTGCACAAAATTATACAAGCCTTTACACCGTGAAAATATGCACGAAACAACGAGTTGAAACATTACTCAATATATGACGAAAACGACTAAAAATCTCAAAATTGATATTTCTAGTTGTTAGCTAGTGTAAATATTTATACTGGTACGAGAAAAATTGCAAATTATGTTGGGTTGAAACAAAAGTTCATAACGTTTTTCAATAGGTGGCGTTTGAACAAGTGAATGTGTTTCACTGCGTGAAACACGTGGAAAACTTGCGAAATAATATTTTACAAATATGTTCAATCAATCGCAAATATCATGTTATAAACATATCCTCTTATTTCAATGTATTTCGCAAAAATTTCCGTCATACGTCTCCTCGCTTCTGATATCATTAATCAAGATGGCTGCAACAAGGAACTATCTTTCAAATAGAAGATATAGCTGAGTTGCCGAAAATGACTATAATTTTAATGGAATTTCTCTCGTATCTCGCGCCATTTATTAATCCTGCAATGTTAACCCTTTATTTTGAAGACAAGTAGTGTTGAAAAAAGGGAAAACTCGAAAAGCTTTTTAATGTGACATATGTGCGTATATTTTCAAAATACAAAACAAATTGGAGATTGGTTGGGCAAGAAAGGGGTTCGTAAAAAAGATCTACGTCTCAGAGATGACGTTGGTATTCTGGAGTTAAAAGATCTTCTCAAAAAGAACGGGACTTTACATTCGGACGTTCTCGGGATCGATTCGCCATTTACGCATAAATCCATCGCTAAACAAACGCAGTCTCGGGGCGAATTCCGGCCGATTATATGTGCGATTCGAACAGAGAGAGAAAAAGAAAGAAAGAGAGAGAAAGAGAGAGAGTCCGGACTTCCTCCACGCGCCATTTTCCTCCTTCTCCTCCTCCTCTCGTTGTAACGAAGTCCTTAACGCACAAAAGAAAATCGCGGAATATCCTTTTGATATTTCTGCCCCCTCAGGTGTCCCACGCCGGGATGCGGCAGATTGCATTCGCGAACGCAGCAGCAGCCGAGTAAGCTGATAAAATGTCCGGGCTGTCAAAAGAAAATCTGCTTGGAGGATCGGCTGGCATACCTGCGGGAGTGTGAGGAGCTTTACGGCCGCGGTCTGGGGAGCATGGAGGACGAGCGAGTGGGCGATGCGATCGGGACGCTGCGCGACGCCCTGAAGAGATTTCACCAAGTCGCCTGTCCACCGCACAGGGACACGCACCTCGCCGAAATTGCTTTAAGCTCCTGTATGGCTGACTCCGGGAATACTTGGAGGCCGGCGACGGTGCTTTGAGCACGCCGGATGACGACGAGGAGGTGGAGAGAGGACGCGTGCGGATGGGAGGGTGAAGAAGGAAGAGGAAGCCGTACGCACACTCGCACGGTGCTTGCGCTCCTGTAAGCACGAGCGCGCGCGATATCCCCGCGAATAAAAGACCAGCGGCGCGGCGTTTGATCGCGGCGGATGGCAATTTTACAAGCCGAGAGGGGGGAGCGGGGAATTTTCGAGCCAAGCGAGAGGGACGTTATCTTTATCGCCCGTTGCGAGATCGCCGATTCACGCGCTGACATGATAAAGCTCGTCGAGGAACAATGGGACAAAAAGAGACGGCCGTCCGCTCGCGAACGGCGCGATTTCGCGCTCACCACCTCGCCACCTTGCTGCAAACACACGCATACTGTCATTGAACACACACACCGCCTGTCATGTATACTTTACCATTTTCGAGGCTAAAAGTCACGCAATTTTCTGCCTTACACATGGGACAGGCAGGGGCTTATTGGCACACTTTTACATGTTTTTTCTTTATATATTAATTGGAAAAAGATACTCGAAATATTTCGCAATATCATATACATTTTAATGTAACTAACTTTAGTTTCTAGGAAAAAATAAAACTTTAATGTAACATCCTTTAGCTTTTAGAGAAAAATATTAGCTTTATATATATATTTACATGCAAAAAAGTATTTAGCTCTAAGTAGAATCATGCAAATTGGACAACTGACCGCATATTCAGGGGCAGTTGTCACATGTCCGACACATATATAAAAAGCAATCACAGCATCGCATGGCGAAAGTGGACTTTCTGGTTCTCCATCTTTGCACCTGATTTCTGTCGAGATGGTTGTACTTAGAAAGGCCTACAACGCTCTTCCCTTGGCAGGTTCACAGATCCGGGAACGTTTGTTGACTAACAAAATCGTCTGGAGCGCTCTCGCTTTTATTGATTACCGTAGCAACACGGAGCGCACGAAATTTGAAACGAACTTCTCGAACAACCTAATATACGAGGGCAGTCCGATAAGTACTTAGCCTACAAAAGAAAAACGAAAATTTGGGAAAAGTGGCGATTTATTTCTCAACATAGTCTCCTTTTAGCTCGATACACTTGACCCAGCGATGCTCCAACTTCTTTAACCCATCTGAAAAATACGTTTTCTCGAAGTCTGCAAAGGCCTCCGTGGCGGCGATGACCTCCTCATTCGACTCAAATTTCTGCCCGGCGAGTGACTTTTTCAAGTTTGGAAACAAAAAAAAGTCGCACGGGGCCAAATCTGGAGAATACGGTGGATGGGGCAGCAGTTCGTAGTCCAATTCGACCAATTTGGCCGAATGAGGAGGTCATCGCCGCCACGGAGGCCTACTTTGCAGACTTCGAGAAAACGTATTTTTCAGATGGGTTAAAGAAGTTGGAGCATCGCTGGGTCAAGTGTATCGAGCTAAAAGGAGACTATGTTGAGAAATAAATCGCCACTTTTCCAAAATTTTCATTTTTCTTTTGTAGGCTAAGTACTTATCGGACCGCTTTCGTATATAAATAAAGAAGATATATTTATAGTTGGATATTTAAAAAATATATAATATTACAATAATATTAAATAATATTATTCTTTAAATATTGTTAAGAGTGAACGTATAACCATCTGTTAATATTCCAGAAATATTACTTAATATTAAATAATATTACTAGAACATTATTAGAATATTACGTCTAATATCCTAAGAATATGCCCAGTATTCTGTATATCAGTAATATTTTACTTAATATATTAAATATTAAATATTACGTGCTTATAGGAGATGTCCTAGAGACATTTCAGAAGACGTCCTAAATACCTACGTTCCTGTATAACGTTCTAAAGACGTCCCTCGGATAAAGTGTGTCAGTGTGAAGGCGAAAAATCATATATAATTTTTTATCTGGGGAATGTTGCAGCGCAAATGGCACCGACTGTACTTGGCTCGCTTCACAACCGCATCGACACACACGGGGACAAATAAATAGCGATAATTGATATTGCCAGCGTGATCTGGCGAGCGCGAGTGTCGGGAAATTAGCGCCCGAGGCGTTTACCGAGGCATCGACCTGGAAGCAAACTTTTTTAATTTCGCGTGCACACAGCGTGTCGACCAATTTGGTTCATCGGGATCTCCTTCCGCGGATAACCCCCTCCCCCTTCCATCTTTCTCTCTCTCTCTGTCTCTCTTTCTCAGTGTGTTGTACTGTATCGTGTTCTATCGTACCTGCGTGTCTGAAAGCACATGGACACGTGCGCACGCGAGCGCCTTTCTCATGAGTCCTCCCTTTTTGCCGAGGACCTGTGTCCGCCGGATCACCGGCAGCAAGAAATTCAGCAAATCAACGATATCACGGAGGTTCGTTAAGGCTCCCGGCCCTTCGCCACTCTTAGTCATCCTGTTTGGTAACGTCGGAAATGAGGAAACAAATGCCCAGAATGCTCACGAGATACGTCGAAATCAAAGGATCTGTCCATGAAAATGACACTCGCGACTGATCGATCGGTCGCATTTGTAAGATATTCCAGAAACTTTCTTGCTCTAACGATTAATAAATAACTATAAAACATAACATTATCATAACGCGGAACCTTCCATCTTAGCCTATCTCTTTTTGTTTTCGTCACGTTAAAACTTTGTATTGTAAACGGCTGTTTATTGAGATTGTTAAGGCGAAAAGAAAGTTCCCGGAATATTTTACAAATGTCAATCGATCACATTTGTAAAATATTCTGGAAACTTACCTCTTGCTCTAATGGCCAATAAATAAGTAAGATTAATATGACATGTGATCTTCCTTTTTAGCCTTTTTTCCTCATGACTTTTAAGGAGATATGCCATACTTGAAAACTTTACCTGCGACATACTAACTTCTTTGTAAGGCTTGCGCCATATTGGCTGCACATAATTTCGAATGCTTGTACACAGTGAAAGTACGCGTGAAAATGAATTAAAGCATTGCTCAATGTATGACGAGAACGACGGAAAATTTCAAAATTGATTTTTAGCTATCAGTGAGAGTAAATATTTACCTGATACAGACATTTTGCAACTTCCGAGGCTTATAGAAAAAAAGTGTTGCAACCGTCCTGTGACTGACTACCTGCCGAATATGTCAATGTTTCAATCTGAAAATTTCGAAGAACATTCTTTCCCCCTATCTTTCTTTATATTTTTCAATTAAATTTAGAGGCCTAAAAGGATACGAAAAATTTAGTAGACAAATTTGTACATATCTTAGTTGGATTTCCCGTTATAGAAAGAAATCTTATTTGGAAGAATAAAACAAACTAAGGTGCATTTTAAACAGAAAGCAGTGCAAAACAGAAATCAGGGATTGGAAATGACTGAATTTTGACGTGAAATTCGTATTCCTTGACATCGAGAACGTAAAATTAGCGACCTTTTAAATTCAATGAAATATTTTTAGCGAAGAGATGAGGCGAGTTCTTTCTGACGCAAGAACGCGCACAATAGTTGCGCGCATACTACTCAAGTGGTTAAGCGTACATATGAGATTCTCGCGCTTCAGTGTGCGTACATTTCTTGAACTAGCCAGTTCAGCTAAAAAGAACAAATATGTTTGAGGGAAACCCCACAGCACCGCTCGACCATTAAGACTCATTCGCGTCGAAAATCGCTTGTCACAAATGAATAACGTATTTTCACCTCCAATTCTCCAGCGATCACTGCCCTCCTTCCCCGAGAGATTCCAACCTTCTTTCGGAGTAATCTCGCTTTTTTCTAAAAATAGTAAAAAGAAAACACACTCCACGGACAATTTCCGTCTGACTTCACCGCGTCTGACGTGAGCACTGTCGGATCAGAAGCTTCGCTTCCGCGAACGGGCCGTTTCGTTTGCGAGCCTGCCGTCGCATTAACTAAAAGAGCCTGATCGCCGGGCGAATTTCACTGGAGCACGCAATCAAACTGGAGCGCGCGCGCACCGTGGATTCCAGTATTATATTCATAGTAAAACTGCTTTACATTTGCCAGACCGATAAGCACGTAATATTATTTAATATTAATTAATATTCTGGGCACATTCGTAGAATATTAGACGTAATATTAGTAATATTCTAGTAACATTATTTAATATTAAGTAATATTTCTGGAATATTCATAGATGGCCATATGTCCATCCCTAAATAATATTTAAAAAATAATATTATTTAATGTTGTAATATTATATATTTCTTAAATATTCAACTCTATATATATGTAATTGTAGCTTTTATTTCAAACGTATTGCAATGCCAATTATTTCATTACATAAATAAAGTCGAAATAATTGTAAAAATACGTTTTATACTAAACAAATTATACATATATATATATATATGTATTATACATATATATATGTATAATTTGTTTAGTATAAAATATACATACGTATAAATATTTATATAATGTATACATATATATAAATATTTATATTCATTTTTCTACACTATTATTGTTTTATTTTCTTCTAATATTCTAAAAACATTTTTATAATATGCCAAGAATATCATGTGAAGTCGATACATAATAGCTCAGTAGAACATTTCTGTAATATTAAAAAATATTGCACAAAATTCTTAGAGTATTACAAGAATATTATTTTAATATTTAATAACATTCATATATAATATTCTAGGAATATTACGCGCTTATGAAGTGCGCGAGCGCGAAAGCGAGCGGTGAAAACGCGCTCGCCGGGGCCGCGCGCCGGATCTATACGGCGGTTGCGTGCTCACGTATCGTATATTTTACAGGTCCGGATTAAAAGATTCAGAGAGACGCGCCCGACACAACCCGTTAACCTCTTTTAGCGTCTGGCACGAAGAAATGCGCGGTAACAATGCGTCGGCGGCCTCACGGCGATATGTTTAAACTGTTATTTCCCAGAGTGCATCGCGCGCGACGAAGTGGCGCGGAAGTGGTACGGCCGTGTGCAACAACAACGGTAAGTGCGCCGACCAATGACCGCTGAAATCCGAAATTACTCACTCACCGATCACGATCAAATATTAAAATATTTTTTTCCCAAATACACGCGTCGGTACGCGCGCGCACGATGCTGTGTGAATCTTTGATTTTTACGCGACCGTAAATCAACGCTGCCGTTTGATGGAGCCAGTAATTATTCACCGGTGATTCCTGGTCGGCTTTAATATTCCTCTCGCGCGAATTTTCAATAAACCGTGCGTTTTCTCATTAAAAAATGATATAAAAATGGGAAGGAAAAAGGGGGAAAGGAGAAACAATAGCGCTTGGAGATTTGGATCCCGGTGATGACCGAGAGAGAGAGAGAGAGAGAGAGGTATGCACTCAAAAGAGGATGATATTTTTACATTCGACGAGGGGCTGCAGGTGGATTTATTCAAAATTGTTTTCCTAAGGTTCTTGTGCTCTTGTACATTACAGTCATCTTATTTGGTGACGTCAGAAGCAAGAATGCCCAAAATTTTCCCGTGAAATACGTCGAAACGAAAGGACGTGTCCATAAAATGACACTCGTGATCGATTGATCGCATTTGTAAAATATTCTGAAGACCTTTGTCTCCCTCTCCCTCCCTCCCTCTCTCTCTCTCTCTCTCTCTCTTTCTTACTCTAACAATCAATAAAT